CGCCAGCAGTGGAGCGCGCTCACTTAACCACCAAGCCACGGGGCCGGCCCTCAATAAATCTATTACAAAAAATATTTGCAATACTTTTTATCAGTTACATAGGTGACATCTATATGCAAACTGACATTTTTGAGTAGGCAGTTGCATATGGGATTCTAGCACTCTGAGAAGAGATACGGGCTGATGAGATAAATCTGGCAACCATCAACAATACAGTGGTATTTAAATCCAGGGTAAGGAAGAGATTCCCCAAGCAATACGTGGAAGGAGAAAAGAGGGGGGACCAGGAAGAACTTGGAGGAAATCCAACTTTTAGATGCTGGGCAGAAGAAAAGAACCCAGCAGAGCACGCTATAAGCAGCCAGTGAGGAAAGAGGAAAACGTGTAAGGCGCCTAGTGGCTAAAGGTTAAGTCACAGGCCCTCAAGTAAAAATTTCCCTTTTGTTGGACACATTAGATACCTAAATATTATGTTATGGGATCTTAGGTCACTCATAACTTTTAGCAATGCTTTTATTTAAGGTAGGAGTTCTTAGTCTGGAGTTCAGAAAACCTACAAGAGTTTGGGTTTACCAATAAGTTTCAAGAAGAACAGAAACCTCCTAAAATTCTGTATAAAAATGTATGTGTTTGTGCCCATTTTCTAAGGAAGTCCACTGTTTTCACCAGATTCTCTAAAGGGTGTGCAAGGCAAAAAAGGATTCAATTATGATAGTAAAAACTTCATTCTTCCCCGTCCCTCACAGATACCAAAGTCTTTGTAGCACAGACCTTGAGAGACAATAAATACCCTTCATTTAGTAAATGGATCAAACTTCTTAAGCAGCTAAACATTAGCTACCCCGTGTTTTGAAATATAAGTGTCAGAAGAAGGGTATGAAAGAACCAAGTCAACTTCTCCTTTATCAACCTGTACAAAATAGTTCTACTTCTGAGAGTCTGGACTTTACTTATTCTGAGAGTATCTAAATTTGGAATAAGCAGTGGCATCCTAAGCAGTGGCATCCTCAACTGCCCTTTCTCCTACAATACTACATATTTATAGAAGTTCAGTGTTTCTAGGTCCTAGGTAGCTGGGCTGAGAATAGAAACCGAGGGTACAAAGATAGCCAGAAAGAGTTCCTTTTTTCTGAGCAGTTCTAAAGAAGATAATTTCAAGATAATTAAAGCAGAATAACTGTAGATTTGCA